CGAATAATAATTTCGTGAACTGAGGATATTTTCGTGGCTTGTCGATGAGCAACGACAGAGATAAAAGAATAGGAAGAAAGAGGGGGGAGGGAGGAGATCTTTCTTCATAACTGATGATTCGTTTGTATCCGAAGGGTAAAGTAAAATGATTAAATAACTGGATGGCATTATACCTGGACACATTCTGAACGTTCGACACTTAATGCATTGTTTGGATTAGCAAGTTCAGCAATGAACTCTTCATCTGTGTTGAATTCGCCTTCATCACGTAATGCTTCCCAACTTTTCTGGTCATCTAAAAAAAAGTGAAGCATACTAACACGAATATTTGATCATTTGATATCCCAACTGAAACTAATTCCAATTCTAAGTTTAAATTAAATCTTGTTTATAATAGCTGCCTTTACTTTTTCTTACACCTAATTAAAAAATGATTTCCACTTCTCTTTATTTTTTATCAGTATTTCTTTATCGCATACTTAAACGAATAAAATGGTAAGAATTGACAAAATTAACAATGTATACATTAAAAAAAAGAAACCTACAAGTTGCAATATATGATGGGCTAAGAGTATCACTGATAATAACAACAGCGATATATTCATCATTGTCGTGGTTTTTACCAATGAATAAAATGGCTGATAATTGTCGTTCATCGTTTAGCTCACAACAGCGACTTACTTTCAATTCCAACATTTAGAGATATGTACTAAAACATACTCATATGTTCAAAATTTTCATATTCTCAAATTGTTATGTCAAATTCACGTGGACTAAGTCATTCTGAGTTGTAGAATAAGAATTACGTCATTTTACAAGACATAAAATTACAAAACTTTACAAAGGCATATAGAAACTTTTTTTTCTTTTTTTTTTACAAGGCATATATAGCACGCCATGTATGAGATGAAGCTGTGAGATGCAAATTAATTTTGTTATTCAAGAAAAATATTCAAGAATTATAAGACGCCATTTAAGAATTATAAGACGTAAAGCACGCCATATCAAGGATGTAAAATGAAGCTGTGGAATGTAAACTACGTCATGCAAGGATTATAAGACGTAAAGCACGTTATATCGAAAGTGTGAAATGGAGCTGTGAAATGTAGATTACGTCATATGAGATTTATAAGACGTAAAGAAATACGTCATATCAAGATTGTAAAACGACCAAATGAACTTCTACTGTATTTTCATTTGAATACAAAGGCTAATTCTTATGACGCCGTTCTGCCGTACTGTTAAATCCTAACGACGTGTATACTGAAGTACGTATTCAATATGTAATTTATGATCATTTTACTTATTTTGTTATTTATTTATGATATTACTATAATATCTATCATTTGCAAAATGCGTTGGGAATACATCATGCAGCATGCAGCATGCAACATGTAGTGTATAACATGCATAAACTAAAAAAAAAAAAAAAAAAA